CCAAAGGAAACTGTTTTTACAGAAGACAAAAACTAGAAGCATGTCAATGAAGCAGAAAAAGACTTGTTTCAAATTCCTTATCAGCTTTCTCATCAGTTTTAATTTTTTGTTAATATCTATTAAGTACATGACATATTTAATTCCTGTTAGTGTTAAGAAGCTCACACCTATCACAAAGATACATCTTCATGTTCTCCCAAAGTGCCATTCCACTGGAATGACAAGAATAGGCATAGCTATACATGACTCCAAGTGAGACAACAAAAGGCATTAACGTCATTGAACCAAATTCTCAAAATATTTTGATTTAACTTTTCTATAACTCCTCATGTACTGAGAGCCTTCTATTGCTGGGATTCTGGGTATAATTGGAAACAGTTCTTGTCCAGGAGCAGCCCACCACCTGTGAGAGATACCACACAGAAAAATCGCCATCATACTAGATCAGAGGTCCCCAACCTTTTTGGCACCAGGGACTGGTTTCATGGAAGACAACTTTTCCACAGACCAGGGAAGGGGTTGGAGGATGGTTTCAGGATGAAACTGTTTCACCTCAGATAATCAGGCATTAGACCCACATAAACAGCATACAACCTAGATTCCTCACATGTGCAATTCACAATAGGGTTAGCGCTCCAATGACAATCTAATGCCACTGCTGATCTGACAGGAGATGGAGCCCAGGCGGTAATGCTTGCTAGCCTGCTGCTCACCTCCTGCTGTGTAGCCCCATTTCTAACAGCCCATGGAACAGTGCTGATCCTGCCCGTGGGTTCTGGACCCCTGTACTAGAGGCTGACAAAAGCTAAAATAACAATGTGGACACAAAGTATTATAACAAAAGCTCAGAAAAGGATCAACTTAACTCAGTAGGAAAGTAGGTAGGGCAAGTAAGAGAAGTAAGAGAGGAAGGGCACAGTGGTAAGCTGTTAGAGGTTAGTATGCCTAGATCAATGGGTGCAGTGAGGACAATGGAACATGAGGCCAGAGAAGTTGGCAGGGAACGGACTGGCAAGTGCTTCTGTAGGATACTAAGGCATTATTATCATTATCCTTAAAAGATAACTGTTTAAACAAAAACAAAAACTATATATTGTGGGGTTTGTAACATATGTAAAAGTAAAATGTATGATAACAACAGCATAAAGGCTGGGAGGGGACAAATGGGAGTATACCATTGTAAGGTTCTTATCCTGTATATGAAGCAGCATGCATTCACTTGAAGGTAGACATACGATGTAAAATAACTAGTTACATAACAAAATTAACTAGCTAACATGCAAGCACAGGGGATGAAATGGAATTCTAAAAAGTAAAAACCGCATAGTCTCGACCCAAAGCTCCTTCAGCTGATAAACAACTTTGATAAAGTTTCAGGACACAAAATCAACATACAAAAATCATTAGCATTCCTATACAACAACAACAGCCAAGTCAAGAGCCAAATTAGGAACACAATAGCCACAAAAAGAATAAAAGACCTAGGAATACAGCTACCCGGGGAGGTGAAAGATCTGTACAATGAGAATTAGAAAATACTGCTCGGAGAAATTAGAGATGACATAAACAAATAGAAACATAAACAAATAGAAACATTCCATGCTTATGGATAGGAAAAATCAATATTGTGAAAATGGCCATACTCCCCAAAGCAATTTATAGATTCAGTGCTATTCCTATCAAACTACCAATGACATACTTCCCAGAACTAGAAAAAACTACTTAAAAATTAATATGGAACAAAAAAGGGCCTGAATAGCCAAGGCAATCCTAAACAAAAAGAACAATGCTAGAGGCATCATGTTACCAGACTTCAAACTATACTACAGGGCTATAGTAGCCAAAACAGCACGGTACTGGTATAAAAACAGACACACATAGACAACTGGAACTAAACAGAGTCCAGAAATAAGAGTACACACGTATAACCCTCTAACCATCAACAAAGCTGACAAAAACAAGCAATAGGGAAAGAACTTTCTACTCAACAAATGATGCTGGGATAATTGGCTAGCTATATGCAGATGACTGAAACTGGGCCCCTTTCTTACACCACATACAAAAATCAACTCAAGATGGATTAGACACTTAAATGTAAAACCCAGATCTATAAAAACCCTGGAAGACAACCTAGGCAGTACCATTCTGGACATAAGAACTGGCAAAGATTTCATGACAAAGATGCCAAAAGCAATCATAATAAAAGGAAAAAAATGACAAATTGAATCTAATGAAACTAAAGAGCTTCTGTACAACAAAAGAAACTATCAACAAATTAAACAACTTACAGAATGGGAGAAAATATTTGCAAACTATGCATCTGACAAAGGTCTAATATTCAGCATCTATAAGGAACTTAACAAATTTACAAGAAAACAACCCCATTAAAAAGTGGGTGAAGGACATGAATAGACACTTTTCAAAAGAAGACATACATGCAGCCAATAAGCATATAAAAAAAAGCTCAGTATCACTGAACATTAGAGAAATGAAAATCAAAATGAGATACCATCTCACACCAGTCAGAATGGCTATCATCAAATTAAAAAGTAAAAAAAAACATGATGAGGTTGCGGAGAAAAGGGAACGCTTACACACTGTTGGTAAGAGTGTAAATTCGTTCAACCATTGTGGAAAGCAATGTGGTGATTCCTCAAAGAGCTAAAAACAGAACTACCATTTGATCCAGCAATCCTATTACTAGGTATATACCCAAAAGAATATAAATTCTTCTACCATAAAGACACACACATGCGTATGTCCACTGCAGCACTATTCATAATACCAAAGCCATGGAATTGACCTAAATGCCCATCAATGGCAGACTGGATGAATAAAATGTGGTACATACACACCATGGTATACTTGCAGCCATAAAAAAGAATGAGATCATGTCCTTTGGGACATAGATGGAGCTGGAGGCCATCATCCTTAGCAAGCTAACACAGGAACAGAAAACCAAATACCGTATGTTCTCACTTATAGGTGGGAGCTGAGAACACATTGACACGAACAAGGGAACAACAGACAATGGGGCCTACTTGAAGGTGAAGGTGGGAGGAGGGAGAGGACCAGAAAAAATATCTACTGGGTTCTAGGCCTAATATCTGGGTAATAAAATAATCTGTACAGGGGCGGGGGAGAAAAAATAATAATAATAAATAAATTAATAAATAAATAAAAATAAAATAATCTGTACAACAAACCACCATGACACGAGTTTATCTATATGTACCCCTGGAACCTAAAATAAAAGTTTAAAACAAAAGTACTCAATTCAACCATAAAAAGAGGAAAAAAAGAACAAAGAATAAAAGAGACTAAGAAAAATCAATTATCAAGATAGTGGATTTAAACCTAATTATGCTAATAATTACATAAAATGTAAATGTTCTAAACACCCCAATTAGAAGGCAGAGATTGTCAGTTTGGAGACAAAAGAAGGAACCAACTATATGTGGCCTGAAAGAAAACCACCTTAAATATAAAGACAAAAGTAGTTTCAAATTCAAAAGATGAAAATAGGTATATCATGTTAGCAAAATTTTTAAAAAGCTGTAAGGTCTAAAATAATATCAGACAAAGTAGATTTCAGAACAAAGAATATTACCAAGAATAAAGAAGGTCACTTCATGATAATAAAGAGGTCAAATCGTCATAAGGACGTAAGAATCCTAATCATTTATGTATCTAATAACAGCTTCAAAATACATGAAACAAAACTAATAGAACAGCAAGGAGAAAACTGACGCATATACCATTACGGTCAGAGATTTCAAAGCCTCTTTCTCTCATAATTGATAGAGATAGAAAGAAAATGGGTAAGAACACAAAAGATTTGAACAACACTATCGACAAAACCTAATTGACATTTATAGAACAGTCTACTCAACAACAGCAGAAAACATTCTTTTCAACTTCACATAGAACATTTACTGAGACAGAGCATATTCTGAGCCATAATCTGAGCCTTGATAAATATAAAAATATTTAAAATGTAAATAGTATGTTTTCTGAACACAAAGGAATGAAACTAGAACTCAATAATAGAAGAAAATTTGGGAAATTCACAAATATGTGGAAATTAAACAACATATTCCTAAATAACCCAAGGGTCAAAGAAGAAATCAAAAGGGGAATTCAAAAGCATTTTGATCTGAATGAAAATAAAAACACAAAGTCATAATTGGTGAGATGCTACTAAAGTAGCAGTGGATGGAAAATCTAAATGCCTATACTAGAAAATAACAAAAATCTCAAATAAATGATCACAGTTTCCACCTCAAAAGCTAGGAAAAGAAGAGTGAATTAAACTCAAGCAGAAGATAGGAAATAATAAAGATCAGAGTAGAAATCAAAAAAAAAAAAAAAAAAAAAAAAGAATAAAACCAAAAGCTGACTCTTCGAGAAGATCAATAAAATTAATAAACCTGTAGCCAGACAGATGAGAAAAACAAAAAAGGTATGCACATTAACAATATCAGAAATGAGAAAAATGTCACTACAGATATTTTAATTCTTTAATATTCTTTAAAGAATATTCTTTAAATTCTACAGATATTAAAGAGTAAGGAAATATGATAAATGACTTTATGACAATAATTTAACAACTTGGATTAAATGGACAAAATCCTGGAAAGACATAAACTACCACAGCTTACTCAAAAGAAAACAACAGCCTAAGCAGTCCTATAGCTACTAAATAAATTAAATTTGTAGTTAAAAACCTTCCCACAAAGAAAACTCAACGTCCAGGCAGCTTCACTGGTAAACTCTACCAGATATTTAAGTATGAAATAAGCTATTCCAGAAAACTAATGAAGAGAGAATAATACTCAATTCACTCTATGAAGCCTCTTCTCCACAACCTCATCATGTTTTGTTTTTTTTACTTTTTAATATGATAATAGCCATTTCTGACTGGTATGAGATGGTATCTCATTTTGATTTTCATTTCTCTAATGCTCAGTGATACTGAGCTTTTTTTTTATATGCTTATTGGATGCCTGTATGTCTTCTTCTGAAAAGTGTCTATTCATATCTGATACCAAAACCTGACAAAGCAATTACAAGAAAACTACAGACTAATATCTTTCATAAATAAATACTGATGTAAAACTTCTAAACAAACTTTTAATAAACCAAATCCAACAATTTATAAAATGGATAATACATAATAAACAAGCTGAATGTATCCTGGGAATGCAAGGTTGATTTAACAATCAAAAATTAATTGATGTAATCTACCATATTATAGGCTAAAGAAGAAAAATCATGATTAAATCAATCAATGCAGAAAGATCATTTGACAAAATCTAACATCAATTCCTGGTGAAAACTCACAGCAAACTAGGAATAGAAGGGAACTCCCCCAACATGATAAAGGGCATCCACAGTAAAAACCTACAGCTAACATTATACTTCATGACGAAAGACTGAGAGTTTTCCCAAGATCAGAAAGAAGACAAAAATGTCCGCTCTCATCTCTTCTCTTTAACATTATACTGGAGGTTGAATCAAGAGTAATAAGGTAAGAAAAAGAAATAAAAGGCATTCAAATTGGAAGGGAAAAACTGGAATGCTCATATACTGCTGGTAGAAATGTATACTGGTACAATCACTTGGAAAAGACATTAGCAGTTTTTTAAAGAGACTGTATAGCTGTCATATGATCTAGCCACTTCATCCATTAGGTATTTACTCAGGAGAAAAGGAAATATATGTTCATACAGACTTGTACATTAATGTTCACAGCAGCTTTATTTGTAATAGCCAAACAGTAGAAACAACCCAGATGAATGAATAAGCGAACTGTCATGGAGCCATATAACGGAATTCTATTCCGCAATAAAAAGGAATGACTGTTAACTCATACCACAATATGGATGAATATCAAAATAATTATTTGATTAGAAGAAGCTAGGCAAAGAAAGAACATATTGTATGATTATATTTCTATAAAACACTAGAAAATATAAACTAGCCTATAGTACTTGGGGATGGTGGGGAAGGCAGAGGAAGTGGGGGTTATAAAGGGGCATAAGGAAATGAAAACTTCTGGGAGGTGATGGATATGTTTGTTACCTTGACTGTGATGATGGTTTCTCAGGTGTATACTGTGTCAAAACTCTTCACATTCTGACAATGACAAACTGAAATAATACTCCAGAGGAGGTACTTTACAATGACCTATTCTAATATATTGCCTCCAGGAATATATTTTATTTAAAAGTAGGGGGTCAATTTAACTTACCCTTTGCAAGCCACTGGAGGAGCATAAAGCACACTTACACCACTTAAGGATTTGCAGATGTCCTTAACGTCTAACTATAAGATATTTCCAATATCTGGAATTGGAGTGGGGCCAGGTAGGAGTTTCTCTCTCTCTCTGAGCTGTTTTCAGAGTGAAAGGAAAAGAAAATGGGAGAGAAAGAGCACTAGGACCACAGCTAAAACCACTGAAGTCTTCTCTTCTTACTATGACAAATATGAGTTTGCAATCCAAGCTTTTATAACACTCCCCGCTCATTGAAAATATGCATCTGATGTGCAAAGTTGTCAATTACCTACATCAGCTCTAATCTTTTCTGAACTTTGACCCACTGACAAATAAAACTAAAGTGAAAAACAATCTCTTCAAATTGTACATATTAAATCTGAATCTGTGTTGCTTACTGTCTAAAGAAGCAGGGGCGTGACATAATTAGCTCTGCATTTTAAACAGAACATTAAGAAAGCAGTATGAGGGCAGAGCTAGAAGAACACCCAGAAAAGGAAAAATCAGAAAGGCCAGATGACTGCCAGGAGAGAATGAAGTCCCAGAACCCAAGGAAATAAAGAATTTCAAAACAAAGGACAAGATAGCATGGTACACAGACACAGACTAGGATGTTCAGCAGCAGTAATTGACTGGAAGTCTGGCGGGAGAGCCCCACTACTCAAATATTCTTGACACATGACTACACTCTGAGACCAAGTGCACCTCTTTGGGAGAAAGCCAGGAAGGAAGGAAACAGTTTAGAAAACCAGGCTATCCAACCCAACCAAGTGATGAGATGAAAAGATCGCACACCCAGCTGCCCCTCCCATCCACCCATGGCACAATCAACTACTTCCTGAAAGGCCTGGCAATATACCATGCAGGGGTATGGGAGCCCTCAAGGCATCACCTTTAAAAGCCAGGATGGCAACACAAGCCCTTGCCATGCACCAAAATTGTACTTTTTGGGACCACTGAAATTTCTTTGCTTAGTTCTCAAAACTGTTATTAAAACATGATGTAGAGCTCCTATTGATAAATTTTCCTCATACTGAAGGATTCCAACAAAGCAATGAACAGGCATTACATGAGTGTTTCAGTTCATCAGGAAAAGTCAGGGCCCTCCTCTGTTGGGAATGCCATCAAATACTGACTTGGAATTTAACAGGATCCTCTGCAGTCTTCTATCTCTTAGGTCATGATGATACTAATAAGGATAAATAGATCTAGTCCATTTGTCCCCTAATTAAGTTGGTCTGGCTGGTTTCTAGCACACACGTCGCCTCCACTTGCAAATTAAGTGCCATTTCATTTTATGGTTCTCAACAAGCAAAGTGTACATACAAGACTTACCAATGGCTTTAATTGATTCTCCTGGAAAAAGTGGAGCCTCTTCCATCTGTGCCAGCTTATTTCCATCCCTTAGAGCCTGGCAGAAAAAAAAAAAAAAAAATAGGAGTAAATCTCACTTTCTATGTACCTGTGAAGAATTTTGGTGTTCTGTGATGTCACTATAAGGCTACAGAAGCGTGCAAAATATAAGCACCCAACCCCTTAAAAGACAATTTCAAAGCTCAGCATCACAAGACGTCATGCTACATATTCTAGCAAATTGTTACAACATATTTAAATTTCACAGTTAGGAAGCATTAATACATAAATGGCTTGACATGACAGAAAGATACTGTAATCACTACACAGATAGCTATTAAAAGGTGTCTCTAGAATTTGCAAATAAGGTCAGAAAAAGGTTACCTTCTGAGCATGAAACTAATACAAATAAAATCAACATGAGATACAGGTGCTTAGCTAGCTGTAGAAATGACCCAGCCTATGAGAGAGTTTGGGAAGGCCAGAAGTCTCATGAAAATAACCAGGGAATAGTCTTGGTACAGTACACAATAGGAAAGACCTAGGCTTTGGTACTGCAGCCCAGCTACGTGTGTGTGTATGTGCTCATGCACTTTGCGTGTGCAAAGTGTATGACTGGAGACATGAAGAGTGAAGTTGTCAGTGTTTACCCGATCTGGGCTACAAGGGAGTGTGCTCTCCTCTGGCAAGCAAGAGTATTCCAACCCCAACTGTGGAACAGGGTGTTTTCATCAGGCATGTCCCAAGACAATCCACTTGGCAATAACATCACACTCACCAAGAAAATTGCTAATGATTTACTAGGTTTCTTGGCTACATGATGCTAGGAAGAGGATAACCTTGGATGGCCAGAAAAACACATGCCCACGTTTTTAAATGAGTAGATTGGCACTGTAGCCCAGTAGCCAGTCTCTTGCGAGCTTGGTTGGATAGTGCCAGATAATTCAGGGGAGGTGAGAAAATGGTGTTCTTGAACTACAAAGCTAGGGACCAAAGTCTGAACTCGGGACCTATTCCAAGGTATTGCCACCCTGTGAGATGCTGCCAAGGAAACCAGTCACTTTCTCGTTGGCATCTCCGACATAATGTGTCATGAATAAGAATAAGGTGATCAAAACCCCAGCAATTTCAAAGCTGTGTTTCATAGAGCATTACTTTTCCAAGAGATGTGAATAGGTCTTAAAGAAAAAAAAGTTTGGGAAATGCTGGGTCAAGCAAAACAAGTTCAGCTGCTTTTTTCAGTGAGATATCTTTAGTGTGTTAACGTACACTGAATCAGCAAGAGGGCGCTAGAGTATAATGCATTTCTCATACCTAGTTGATTGGGGACTGCTTTTTCCACCTGTTAACATCAGAGGCCACTAGCGTTCAGCAGAAAACAGGTCGAACAATACTGTTTTCAGCATCATTTTGTAAAGCAAAATATTGTTAAATGGATGTGTTTTATAATTCTAATCTAAATTATTGAAAATTCAAAACAGTAATTATTTTCGTAGTTACAACAATATTTCACAATGTTTTATTAAAGGACTTAAAGGTCAATTTAGAAACACTACACATAATAGTCTCATCAAATTTTATAAAAGGAAAAAAGCCAAACTATAAATAGCAAATTCAATGTTGAATGTTGGTCAGTGGTATGTCAGTTCTACTGGGAGGGCACAAAATGACATGGTCCATCCTCCTCCTTATCAAAAGATGCATGGTTAAAATAATATGGATCAGGAATCATTGTTACCTCCCAACAGTTAATTCAATTCCAATTTTTAGTCCAGATTGGTTTTTGAAGACATTTTCAGCCAAAAATTTTTGGAAGTTAACACATTAAGGGGGAGGTGTAGAGAACCATTAATGGATTCATTTTTATTACTCACATCTGATTTGTAAATATATTTTATGCAATAAAGCATAAACTAACACGTATACTTATAAATGTCTGGTTTTAGAAACACTAAAAGATTCCCAATCATAGAAGCCTTAATTTGAAAGTCTGCTTTATGCCTGAACTAGTGACTAATTGTACAACATTTCACAAAATGAGAAAGCTACTTTAATCAATATCAGAGTTTTAAATTACTTCAAATGTCACATTGTTAAAGCCTATTTTAATGGCTAAATATTATCACATACTATACAGACTTAAGTTTCTTATATGTTAAAATAAATGGAAGCAGATTATTTTGAAATTATAATTACTAAAGCAAGCTACTTTAATCAACTGAATCTGGAGGAGCTTAGGAAAGATATGACTCCCTTTATTTAGAGAAAGCCACATCAAATATTTTAAAGTCCTCAATCCAGGACTACTAATAATGTTGCATATAGGAGACAGAGATGATCAGGACCATTTTAAGAATGCACAATGCTCTCAAGATAGAAGTTGAAAATCAAGGATTTCTCTTCTCTTCCCATCGTCATGGTAACTTTGGCTTGAAACATCTGTGCATTTATATGTCAGTGAGACATAGCAAGACAAACCTCTCACTAAGGACAAATCTGGGACATGCTTTCTAAATGACAAAAAAAAAAAAAAAAAAAAAAAAAAAAAAAAAAAAAAAAAACAATTGTTGGAATAAAACAAAGAAGTGATCCAATTGCTTCAGATTTCCCCATAGGAGATCCCTTTTGTAAAAGAAACACATTTAGCTTTAGCATAGAAACTCAAAAGGAGAAGAGTTTTAAAAGCTTGGAGGTTTTTTGTTTGCTTTGGTGAGTATAGTAGATTCCGTTTATTAAGCTGCTGTTAGGAGAAGGGACTCACACTTGTGCTACATTAAGCTTTTACTGCAACTACGAGGTTGCACAGGACATGATTTGACCCTTGATTTATCCAACCCATGTTCAGCACAATCAAAGGATGGAATATTCTTGTAAACTAAATTTGATCTCATAAACACACCCATTCCTCTTGGTGCTGTGACTCAGTGTTGCCCAACTGGGGAACTCCCTCTGATGACCTCCTCCCAACTTTGTTCCAGTGACCCTGAAAGTCCAGCTGAGGTCTCCCAGCTCCCTGAATTTGTCCCTGAGGGCTCCAGCCCACCCAACAACCCTGACCTCTTCACTACTTTTCTCCTCAGCCTGAATCCAAGCCACCAGGTGGATAGTTTATATAATGGTTGCATGCCAAAAGCAGTGGCTTTCAAACTGGGCTCTTCAAGTTGCTTCCGGGGTCAACAAAGGACGGTGGGGCTGGATGATGGTGGACAATGGTGCAGCTGAGCACCTGGGGCATGCCACGCTTCCCCAGAGCTGCTCTTCTTTTGGTTTCACATAAGCATTGGTACTGCAGCTTTAAAAGACTCCAGAGAGGGTCTAGAGGTACTGAGCAGAGTAAGCACTTCAGAATACTCTATGAATAATTTTGTATTCTGATTAATATATGTAACAACTCCACAGATATCTACATGGTACCAGGTACTGTGTTGGGCACAGATCATGCATATTTGAAGAAAGCAAAGTGTGCACCCTCAAGGAGCACCCTTGGCATATATATCTGTCCCCTCTATGTCTGTGTAAATGTACTGCAGAATCCTACTGTGATGGATGGTTATTATCCCCACCAATAACCCTATCTGGGCAAACCAAGAAGACACAAAATGTTGGATAAACCAATTTTTGCAAATAATGTCATATGGAATCTACTAAATTGGACAGGAGGGCACTGCTATTGCGGTAGAAGCATCTGGAAAGTTTTGCTTATTATCTAGAAGTCTAGTATGAAATGGCTTCTAAATACATGATCTGTAGCTACAAACAGATGAACATGTAGAACTTGCCACCTGATCAGCTTCAGCTTCAGAAGGGTAGCCATTGTGTTCTTCCTGAATCTCCTGCACAGCACCAGGTGCATGGACAAGAAAAGGCAAAGAGGAGAAAGAGAAACACGTGCAAACAGACAGGTGAAAGGACAGAATTTCTTTTTTAAGGAGACAGTAACCATGTAAAAGTCAACACACCTTTCATGACTTTGTAAATTACACTTTTCCCCTTGGAGTTAAGGAAATAATGTGTAGGCCATCTACAGCATCCTTGGCCTAAAATGCAGTATCTAGTCTGTGTTTGTGTTGGGGCAGAAAAATGAAAAGCAAACAAACATCATGGATTTCAAAGAATGTACTATCTTTTTAAAATCAAGCAATATTATAGCATATAGCAAAGAAACAAAATAACAGGCACATACTGTACTCATAGAAAATGAAGCATACCACAGAAACCCGGTAAAGGGCAAAGTCAAGCCCAAATACAAAGGCAGTTCATAGACATGTATTTTAAAGACAGTAAGTATTCATATGCTCTAAAGAACTATTACATTGTTCAGGGATCGATTCCACTGCATACATGCATATATCACATGCTGGAGATTTTATATATATATATACACTTAGCAATAAGCATTAAGAAATAGACGTGTATATATGTGTGTACACACACACATATATACATGTGTACACACACACATATATACATGTGTACACACACATATATGTGTGTATTCTTATTGCTTATTCCTAATTAAATTCTGTGATTTATAAATCAATATCATATTAAATATCTCTAATTAAAGGATTAACACACTTCCAAGAAACAGCTAAAAAGCCACACATCTTTATTTAATTTTTCCAATCCCTTTAAAGGTATATTGTTCTTAATTTCTTTATAGAATTCATTATTTTTCAAAATTTTAAAAATTGGACTTTTTATTCAGCAGGTGGTAAAAAGAATATGAATACTGAAGATGACAAGACTGTAACCTCTTTTTAAAGTTCTATCAAGTCTCTGAGGTTAAAAATATTAAAATTTAGCACATATATATATGTTTTTTTATTTTTGCTTCATGAAACTTTGGTTGTAATGACTTGGTTTTACAAAGGCAACCAGTGAAGAAATAGTGAAGCTTTAAAAGAATTTGCTATTTCCCATCTTTCATTTTTGTCAGTGAAGTACAATAACTCCTTAATGTAGTTTTATACTTTATCATCAGATTGAACTTAGTACAGTTAGTGAAGTTTAGTATACTTCAAGACAGTATCATTTTTCAGTGCAGCCAGTTTTTTT